GCTGTTGTATATGTGATTTGATTTCTTGTGTATCTGTAATAATATTATTATCTGTTTTGATATTATCAAACTTAACAAAATCTTTATGGTGGTTGAGAATACTATTGATTATAGATTTGGAATTGGATAAGAGATTGTCACATCTTTTAGAAATGTGGTCATTGATTTGTTGATGAATTTCTTTTATATTTTCTAAATCGCGAGCATGATATAAGGCCTTCCATTCTTCGTTACTAGTGGTTAACCAATTAGTAAGTAGATTGTATGTTTGAAGTAAATGTGGGATATTTAGTTGATAGGTACTGTTAGGTTTGTTAATAGTAGAGTTGAGTTGTATAGGTATTGGAATAAAGAAATATATAATATCCTGAAGTTATATATATATATAATTTTTAACTCTTAGTACAGATTAAAACAATAATATATATTTTAACTATTCAAAGACTTTTTAATACTATTTAATATTTAAATATTCAAGTATTCAAAAGTATCTAAAATATATTTAAGCTTTAATAATTAATAAATTTGTTTAAAAAAGAATAAATATATATTTTTTAGAAATTATCTTAATAAAATTTTAAGTAATTTTAATTTATTTACTTATTCAAAATTGTTCAAAATATTTAAACTTATTGTTTACAATTGTTTAGTAACAACATACTAGATTAAAATACATATTAAATTATATTTTTTGTCAAAATATGTTTTATATATAGATTTTATAATTATATAAATAGGTTTTTAACCGGTTAATAAGTTTTTCTATCTGTAGACAAGTTCTTATAATTTTTAAAATAATTTTTAGAATTCTTTATAATTTGATTATCTTTTTTGTATATTTGTTTTTATTTACTTCTTTTTTTATTCTATTTATATCTTTTTTTCTTTTTTACTTCTTTATAAGAAAGTGTTATTAGATTGATGATACTCTGATTCTGACAAGGTTAGTAAGAATCATTTATTGATATTTGAGGCTAATATTCTCAAAATATTGAGGATTTTGAAAAAAAAAAAAAATTTATTTAAGCAAATTACTTTTAAACAAGACTCTAGCACTTAATTTTGATGCATTGTAATTTTGCTATAATAATAAGATAGGTTAAAAAAATCTTTATTTGTATAAACAAAAAACAGTTAATAGTTAGATGATAGGTTTAGCCAACTAAATTCTTACTATAAATTGTTACTAATTTAAAAAATAAAGATAGAATCACTGAGTAAAAAAAAAAATATAAATTATAGATAGTTAAAAATTTATAATCTTAACCAGAAGTTAAAATTAGTTAAATTCATTACAAATTATAAAAAAATTTTATTTTTATTTTATCAATTATTATAAAGCATAAAAAATTACTCTCTGTGTAAACACTATTATCTTAGTCACATTAAATTTAGTTACTAATCTAGTGATTATATCGAAATAAAATATAATAGTTAATACTTATTTTAAATTTTTTTTTTACTTTTAAATAAGATTATAAACCAATATTTTAATATACGGTATATACAGTATATACAGTAGTATCATAATAATTAAACCACAGTATACAGTATATTAAAAAATTTGTTTACAAAATATCACGTAATCTAATTAATCAATTTAAATATACAGTATATTATGATCAAAGTTATCAATCAATATCCAATATAAACAATATAAAAAAAAATTTTTTTTGTTAACTTTTACTATAATCATACTTGCTATAGTTATAATCTAAAATCATATAGTGATAGCATTAAGTTTCAACTTACTATATCACAGGATTTTATTTTTTACTATAGCAAATTAATGATTAGAAACGTATTCTTCATGTAACACAAATCACACATAACTCATTAACGTTAACGTTGAATCATTTATACGTAACCCGTTATGGACAATTAATGTTCTGCCTACCGGATAATTTACTCAATACATACGTAACAAAACGGTACTGCTTGCAACAACAGCATCAATAACATCATATTTAGCTACAAATGCACTAATACCCGCATTTTACATCAAAGTATATATATGCCAACGCGAATGATAAGCAAAAAAAAAAAACTATCGTACAAAATAAAATTGAATCAAATTTTTTTTTTATATATAAAATCAAACTTTTTTAAATATTGAAAAATTACCTATTTTATAGCTACTTAAATAGGTAAATATTTTTCCCAAAGCTTCCTAATCCCTGCAGATAAAATACCTAAATCTATATACCATCATTCGTTATTAATACAAAAAGTATTCGAATGTATTCCTTTTTTTTTTTTTTTTTTTTCCTAATATGATTGGATCATATCTATGTCAATATCTAAATGCGATAAAAAATCATAAATTTGATTTAAACCATAATTTTTAACGGTCATACTTTCTAATTTAATTAAACCGAACAATCGCAGTATCCTGAATCAGAATCAACGATAGTTGAATCACTTGAGTCAATATCTACGACGGTTTGACTTGAAGTGCTACTTCTAGCATAATCAAAATCGATTATTTTCAATTCATTAGAATCGTTACTTGACATATTGGTACGAGGTCGCTTATTACCTTTCGGTTTCTATGAATAAAGGTAATAATAATTAATATATATTGATTTTATTGTTGAAAATCATAGAAAATAACACGTACTTTGATTGGAGTGAACACGCCATTTTTGAAGCAATGCTCTTCTTCAGGATTGATAGTCCAACAGTGCAATCTATCTTCCTGTCTTGGTACTCTTACAAAAGCCGAATTAAGAGAAAGATTGTGGCGAATAGAGTTCTATTTTGATTTGTTGTAATATGAGCATATATAAAGACAATATGATGAACAAATAATGATAACGTTTAATACTATAGAGTACCTTCCAACCATCCTGATCCTGTTTATAGAAAGGATAAGTTTCCGAAATCCATCTATAAATTTCTGCTAGAGCAAGTGTTCTCCCAGGAGCCTGCATCAAGGCCTGGCCAATCAAAGAGGAGTACGAATAACATGGCTTTACATTAGGATTTCCAGGTGCACTAAAAGTAGAGATTTTTGAAACGGTAGATTTAGAGACATTGTCGCCCTTTGTAATCGCAGTTGTTATGTTTGTTTTGGCTTTATGTGAATTAGATATTGGTTGATCCATGTTTTCTGCTTTTGTTTTATGGGTAGTAGATGAAATGGGAATTTGTTTATCAAAATCTTGAACCTTCATTTTGAAGGTAAATGCCGTGGGCGACATTGGCGTATCGACGTTGTCTACTTGAACTTTACGGACTGTTGATAAGGTTGATAAAGCGGGCAATGGAATAGGAATTTGTGGATCTGACTTTGCTTTGCGCTGATAACAAGTGATAAACAAATATTATTAGTGATAATGTAATAGACAATAACCTTAATAAATTATTCCTAATTAAATAATGAAGACGCGCCCTCTGATTACATTTCTTAATAAATTGTTTGATAAATTTTATCATAGCTAATTTGCATTGTCCCACAGAAATGCAAATCCAATACATCATTATCATCATCATCATATTTTTTTTTAATCACAAATTAGTCGAGAACGCGTCAGTTCATTATTTGATGATTTCTACCTTTGAAGAAATTAGACTATACAAACTAACCTTGGATGACCGAGTCGCGATATGGTAATTTGATGTCTCTGTCAATTTTCTGTTCAATATCTCCTCCATTGTAGGCATGGTGTCCATTTTTGTTAAAGATTTTCTTGAGTATTGAGGAGCGGATAATATTTGAGAAAAGGTAGCGGGCGTAGAAGAATACCTTTCTTCTTTTACTTCGAATGTGAAACTACGCTTCACATCTAAAACTTCCTCCATGAGGGGTAAAGTTTGGGAAAAATCATATGGAGTATATGGAGACGAATCACTTGAAGAATCATAATTTTCTTCAGGCTCTTCTACCTTGACGCGCCGGTTCACGTCCAGTATCTCTTCCATGGTAGGTAGTCGTGGAAGTTTAGGAGGTTGTGGTGGTATATGTCGAGAAGTTTCTGACCATTCATGTCGAGTTGCACTGTGTGAAGATTTTATTTTTTGCTTTTCTTTACCAACGCGGTGTTTGGTTTCTGAAGGATCTTCAGTTTTATGAATCTTTTCCTTTTTTGTAAGTCGGCCGTTAAGTACCTCCTCCATAGTTGGAATCGTAGCCGTACTACTAGGTGCAGGTAAAATATAAGAAAACCGTTGACTTTCCTTATTCCGCGAAGACTTTTCTCTGGGCATTGTTTTTTTTTTTTTTTTTTTTTTTTTTTCTCTTTACACTGTACTCCTCACAGAAAAGCTTGATTTAATCCAAGGGATAAAGAACAAAAAAAATGGTTCCAACGTGCGTTAAAACGAGAAACAAATCAAATACAATAAAACTGATTTCTTTTTGTATTGAATTCTCATGTTCAGTTTGTTGATTTGATTGACTTTTTGTAAGCAAATAATTTTTTTTTTTGGGGTTATTTCTTATTGGCTAGATTAGTGCCGGGCGGAATTTTGAGGTTGCATGAACGCGACCGCGACAAAAAAAAATGCATGTGACGTTTGCATGTACTATGTTTGAAAGTACACAATAGTACTATTGAAAAATTTATATTATTACAGTAATAAAAATATACAGTTCTTTAGTTCGATTGTCAGGTGAGTGGCCCCCTTCAAGTGATGAGCAATTTGACGCGTATAGAAGTTAAATAATCTTTTATAGAGTAGATATAGATATTAAAGAATCTTAACTCTAATAAAATAAGGCAACAAATGTATAATAGTTGTAATGGATGATATGATATTAGCGGATCATTCAAAGATTTCTTATTTAAATGAAATCCTTGAACGTGCTTGTGGTATTTCTTTTCAAGTCATTAT